TGGGCTGCTTTAAAAGACCTCTCGTCCGCTTGCAAGGACCCCGATACATTCGACATATATGACCTGATCGCATTTCACAAGTTCTTCAACGACCTATACAATCAGAAGTGCAAGGACCCCTCGCACGGTGGACTACAAACGAACACTTCGACCAACGAAGCTGGTGAACAGGGAACCGAGTACCACCTCGAGCCATCAGTCGAACTTGAAAAACTCAACACAGAGTTTACTATCCAAGAACTGGAGAAAGTCACCAATAAGCTCCAGAATAACAAAAGCGTTTCATGTGATCTTATCTCCAACGAGATGCTCAAGAGCTCCAAACTCGGTCTCCAAAAAGTCCTTCTGAAACTATTCAATGGTTGCCTAACGCAAGGAATCTACCCCTGGAACTGCTCAATAACTACCCCCCTACACAAAAAGGGGGACAAGCAGAACCCCGATAACTATAGAGCAATCACAGTCGGAAGTTGCCTTGGAAAACTCTTTGCATCCCTCCTCCTTGATAGGCTGATCGAATTCCGTAAAGTCGTCTGTCCCGACTTCCCTCACCAACTCGGATTCAGAGCTGGTGCCCAGTGCTCTGACCATATCCTGACCCTTACAACGATCATCGAGAAGTATACAAAGAAGCTGAAGAAGAAAATATTCGCTTGCTTCGTGGACTATCGTAAGGCGTTCGACACAGTCTGCAGGGAGGCTCTCATGTACAAACTCAGTAGACTTGGTATCGGAGGAAGCTTCTTCTCTTGCCTCCAGAACATGTACAGCAACTCAGTTACCCGTATCAAACTGAGCAAGAAGCTGTCGGACACCATCGATGTCACCATTGGTACCGAACAGGGGCATCCAATGTCGCCGGAGCTCTTCAAGGTATACATTTATGACCTCTCCATTAGACTAGCAGCTCTTGAGGACTTGTCAATTCCAGAACTGAACGGCTTCCCGGTCAGCCATCTTCTGTGGGCAGACGACCTGATACTTTTGGCACTCGACGCCAAAAGCCTGCAGAAACAACTTGATTGCCTGCACGAATTTGCAAGTAAATGGGAACTGTCAATTAACATCGACAAAACCAAAATCATGGTATTCAACTCGAGCTCTCGTTTGCTGAAGTGCTCCTACGGGTTCAAACTAGGGAACCTGGGCATCTCATCGGCCAAATCTTACTGCTATCTAGGCATTCAATTCAGTCTCAACGGTTCATTTAAAGGTGCCATGAACGAACTGAGGAAAAAAGCACTAAGAGCATTTTTCTCGATCAGACGCATGGTCGACACTCGAGCATTAACAACAAAAACCATGCTCAAGCTTATAGACAGCCTCGTTAAACCAGTCGCTACGTATGCCTGTCAGATATGGCTACCGTGTACAAAAATGGCAAAGGAGATGGCTTGCGCTGATGGTTCAAGACAGAACCTTGCTAGAGCTGCAACAAAGGACGCACTTGAGACAACACACCTGAAAATGCTGGAATGGGTGCTCGGCTTACACAAGAAAGCTAACAACAACTTCTGTTACGGAGATACGGGCAGGTTACCATGGGCCCTGTCGGTACTACCACAATGCCTGAGATACTTCGACAGATTGTCTCAGACATCACCCGACGTGAGCAGCGTCAACTTTCTTGTACATCAGACATTCCAAGAGCAGAAGAATCTAAACCTCTCTTGGTATAAGACCTGGAACTCGATCGCTCAGTCTGAATCCAAAGCGGCCAAATTCGCTCGATCCGACCAACACAGAGCAGAAGGAACGACCTCAACTGCACATGGAAATTTGGTTGATCACTTTGTAAAAGATTGGAGAACAGATTTAGCATCCCAAAAGAAAATGCAATTTTACTGCACTATCAAACAGGTATTCGGAGAGGAGCAGTATCTCAATCTAAAGAATAGTCAATGTCGCATGCACATAGCAAAAATCCGCTCCAGTAGCCATGACCTTCTTATTGAGAGAGGGAGATACACAAAAGAAACTGGAACGTGGACGAGAGCCTGCAGATTCTGCTGCAACAAGGATAACGTTCAAGGCTTAGAATATCTCCCCTTTTTCGAAGGAACAATCATTGAAAATGAAGAACACTGCCTCACTGAATGTCCAATGTACCACTCAGCGAGACTCTCACTGTCGGAAAACCTTAAGAGTCTTTTGCTGCTCAAGGAATACGTTACTGGGCCGCGCTCAGCCTGTCATTCCGCCAAATCTTTATTATGTTAATGAACATAATAGCCTGGGGTCCTCAGGTAAGGAATACGGAGCTATCATGAATTCTGCCCATGTGCAAGAACTGGGCAAATTCCTTTGCAACTGTCACCGCATCAGGAACCCGAAAAAGACGCCAATACTGCCTGTCACCCCATCAGGACTACCAACTCAACAGACATAATACAGATCAACCATCATTATGCAGATTTCACGATCTGTTGTACGAGCATGGAACACTAGTGATTACTGTTTCCAGTACGTTGTGACTGTGAGTGGGGGGACTGTTTGAGTATGAACTTGTCTTTTGTGGACTCGAATACTAATATCGCAGTTTAGTGACCATTGAAGTTGCCTTTTACTACTTCCTCTTATGTTAAATTATTATTTCAGCAATTATTTCTATTTCGGTTGTTTGTACGGGAGTTAAATTTTAAGTGATTTTGTTTTAAATTTTCATGATTCTCGAATCTCGAACTTTACTTACTCTAGATATGTTATTCATTCATGTATAGTCGAGACGATGGTGTTAGTGCCATCTCCGACAACTTTACGTTTAATTCCGTTTAATTCCGTTTAATTCCGTTTACCTTTTTGAAATGATCAGCGAGTTTCGCCTTGGTGCCATATTTGATGGTGCGCGGCTTTTGGAGCAAAATATGGTGTAAAAGTCTCGTAATATGACGAAATTCGTTGATTTTTGTCGTATTATTTTGTCATATCTCCGGTTCCTTAAATGAGATCATTCTGAAAATTGGTGAAGACCTTCCAATAGGGCTTTCACAACTGTCCGAAAAATTTGGTGGATATCGGAGTTGATATATTAATGAAAATGGGGCAAAATGGGGCAAAATACGCTACTTTTAGCTGTAAGTGTAACATAATGTCTGATGGTTGGATCAATTTTTGTTAAAATTGGATCAAGGGAAGATAACTCAATACGCATTTGTTTCAAGAATTTTGTGCTGGCCGAAATTAGCGCTAAAAACCATCATACAGTCGGCACGCGCGGCTCACTGTCGATGGCGCACTACCTAGTTACATTGCAAAGCACGCTATATCGGCGCGCATTGCCATGTGATCCATTTGTAGCGCGATGCGTTACTCTCTAGATCGGTGAGATGCGCTACTGTGCCGCGCCGAGCTGAGATGAATTGACGTCGTCTATTAAGTGATCCATAATTGTTGTTAAATACGTCAAAAAACCGGCTCAAAATACGGCGTATTCAATGTTCGAGAGAAATACGTAAGAATACATAAAGTTTCCAATCAATAATGAATAAGCCCGAAAAAATTGAACTTAGACACTGTTAAATTTTGTCCGGAATACGTTTAAAATTTGGCCAAAATACGCGCGCAGATCAAATGAACGCCGCGCATTTTGAATTCGTTGAATTTTCTGAGCAAGTAGGCCATTGACCATTGTTAATGATTCGGCCCGGCGCGCGCTACTTCGTAGCATGTGCCATCGAGAAGAAAGCGGCGCGCGCTACTTCGAAGAAATTTAGACGAGTAACATCCGTCAAGTAGGCCATAACACATTAACAGGATCACCTGCACAATTCTTCCATCCGTCACAAATCAGCGTGGACGATCCGCGCGCGGTCTAAAGTAGCATTAGCGACCATAGTCGCTACTTCATGATACTTCTGATCAGTGTGAGTGAGAGTGGTGGCTAGAGTTTTCCTTACCGGAACTGAGACTCCTCTCCGGCTCCCCATACTCATAGTGGAGAGGGCTTGGAACAATGAACATATTAAGGAAGTACGGGCTCTCGACTTTAGACTTTAGAGAAAGGAATAGCTTCGACAAGGAAGAATTCCGCGATAGCATCCTTAACCAGGTTCCCCGAGCACACAGAAGCAAAGGTGGTTTGATTGAACAGTTCTGTAACTTTGAATTTTTACAAAAGAAAAAAATCGTTTTTACTCCACATGACAGTGCACAGTGGAAATCGAAATACGCGAATTTTCGGCGACAAATACAGTTTTGTAACTTTTAGTTTTTACAAAAGAAAAAAATCGTTCTTACTCCACAGTGGAAATCGAAATACGCGAATTTTTGGCGACAAATACGTTTTCCTATGCATACGTTTGCTTGAAACGCTACGTATTTAACAGCATTGTGATCCATATTATATACACCGTAAACTGTAAAATACTCGGCGAATCTGGTGATAATCCTTACAAGGATTTCCTTTTATCTCCTCAATTTTGTTCAGCATCCTCTCGCATCATCATCTTCATGAGTTTGACTCCATTCAGGCCCTGATTTTTATCATGGAACTGGAAGGAGAGCTAAGAAGGGTTGTATACTTAATACTGATACTCTTATAGCATCGTGTTGATTTCAACTGTTGTGTGAGAAGGTCGTATATTCGGTAGGAGGATTCTATCCAAGTGTACTCGTACAAACAAATACAATGACATGTGGTGCATAATATTGATGATAGCAAGAATCATATGGCGACATAACTAGAAAATAACGTCCGATAAAGTATAGTGCAGTGTGATTACTGTCAATGAAACTGACCACATTAAATAAACAGGTAAAAAATATATACATTCAATTTCAATCAGATCATGTGTTGAAATCGGCAGAGCACAGTAAATAAGTAACAAAAAGAGTCCATTGCTCCCAAGATTAGCCGAAATCTCTTTATTGTCAACAATGAAGCTTCAATTCGTTTACTTTTAGTTAGCATGCATTTTTCGTTTAATACAGCCTATTTAAACCGACGAACCATTATGTTTTTACGACAATTTCAATATTTCTACAGCAATTTTATTTTCCGTTTTATTTAGAAAAAGTAAATGACCGGCAACAGAGTGATGAAACTTTTTTTCCTTTTCGTCGGACTAGCAGGTATGTTATCTAAACGTGATTTTTACATAACACTTGGTGTTACTTCACCTGGCGTTACTTCACCTAGCGTTATTTCATCTGGCATTATTTCACGTGGCGTTACCTGGAGTTACGTCACCTGGCGTTACGTTATCTGGCGTTATTTCACCTGGCGTTACGTTACCTGGCGTTATTTCACCTGGCGTTATTTCACTTGGTGTTATTTCACCTGGCGTTATTTCACTTGGTGTTATTTCACCTGGCGTTATTTCACTTGGTGTTATTTCACCTGGCGTTATTTCACTTGGTGTTATTTCACCTGGCGTTACTTCACCTGGCGTTACCTGGAGTTACGTCACCTGGCGTTACGTTATCTGGCGTTACGTTATCTGGCGTTATTTCACATGGTGTTATTTCACTTCGTGTTATTTCACCTGGCGTTATTTCACTTGGTGTTATTTCACCTGGCGTTATTTCACCTGGCGTTACTTCACCTGGTGTCATTTCATTTGGCGTTATTTCACCTGGCGTTACACTTACGTTACCTGGCGTTATTTCACCTGTACATATTTCACCTGGCGTTATTTCACCTGGCGTTATTTCACCTGGCGTTATTTCACCTGGCGTTACTTTACCTGGCGTTATTTCAACTGGCGTTATTTCACTTGGTGTTATTTCACCTGGCGTTACGTTATCTGGCGTTACGTAGTCTGGCGTTATTTCACCTGGTGTTATTTCACTTGGTGTTATTTCACCTGGCGTTATTTCACTTGGTGTTATTTCACCTGGCGTTATTTCACCTGGCGTTACTTCACCTGGTGTCATTTCATTTGGCGTTATTTCACCTGGCGTTACGTTACCTGGCGTTATTTCACCTGTACATATTTCATCTGGCGTTATTTCACCTGGCGCTATTTCACCTGGCGTTATTTCACCTGGCGTTATTTCACCTGGCGTTACTTCACCTGTAGTGTCATTTCACTTGGCGTTATTTCACCTGGCGTTATTTCACCTGGCGTAACGTCACCTGGCGTTATTTCACCTGGCGTTATTTCACCTTGCGTTATTTCATCTGGCGACTGGCGTTACTTCACCTGGTGTTATTTCACCTAGCGTTATTTCAACTGGCTTTACGTTACTTAGCGTTATTTCACCTGGCGTTATTTCACCTGGCGTTATAACTTCACCTGGCGTTATTTCGCCTGGCGTTACGTATTTTAACATAGAAATTAGAATATACTAATTAAGTAATTAACCATTAATTGATTATGATACATGGTTCTATACTACTTTATTCCGACAGTGTCCGTTGAGGGACAAGAGCCAGGATGCCCCTTGTTGGATATGATGTTTAATGTAGACCAGATGGCAAGGGGCGGTGATGCGTATGTGTATGATTTTTTTCAAGATGATGTAGTCAGTATCTCATGCTACAGCAACTTCATTGTACCTTGGATAATAACGAGCGAGGAAACGATGGCGGATATGAAATGTATGTACGACAATGATATTAGTGATTGGAGGTGGTCTCCTTGGGATGCTGATGAGAACGTACGAAAAACTTTCGACCAAAATTGGAAATTTGACAAATCTCAATCTTCATGGGAGGCGTCCCATTATATATGCAATGGTAAGTGTATCATTATCATGATCATTGTGAAATGCTTTATTTTTCTGTGTTAAATTTTGCATCCCACTTCTAGTTCTTCAAAGCTCGAAGAAAAATCTTTTACAGAGTTTCCTCGGCCACGCTGAGAATTAAATATTCTTCAAAATTAAATCGGCAAAATGCAGGCTTGCTAGATTTAGAAAATAATATTTCGTGTAACTGAGCAGCTTCCTTAGATTAATGTTTATTACACATTGTGTAGCGGCAAGTTGAGCATACCATATATAGTTGTACACGAGGCTGATTAGCAATTGGTGGTATCCTAGTATACTTCTAGTATAAGGAACCCATTCTTCAGTTAATGAAATCATTAAATAATACGCTATATACAATTATAAGTTATAACAATAATATATGTATGATTTTATATAATGATAACAATCATATGAGTTTTTTGAGCACCAAAATATCACTAACTGGAGGGATTTCTTGAAACATTTAAATGATACGATAGTTTGTCCAATGTACATAGTAACATAATCTTTAAAAATAAGTTAATAGCGTTAGGTTATATGAATCATTATCTCAAGTTCCCTCTCAGAGTGTAGTGATGGTGCAGCGTGTAACATGGGATCCTGCTTTATGAACAAATGTGAATGTGAAGGGTCCCTCATCTCAGATCTAGAATATCCAAGAGAGTGTTTCAGTAAGTATAATTGGTGGTTTATATGCACAAAGTTAAGCGCTAGTGCTACAGTGAGTATTATTGAGGATTTCACATTGCTAGATTTCAATATAGCAATCCTGAAAGCAATTTTCCTGACATTTTTCCGGCGAATACAATATTTTTCATTTTTGGAACCACACTTATTCCACAAAAGCTGCTGGAAGACCCTAATATGAATTTTAAATCGCATGCTTTGAATCGATCTTGAAACTGTGAGTGTGTTTGAAAATGACTTCTATCAAATTACCTCAACCTGAGGATCCCAGGCTATTATGTTCATAAACATATTTCGCCGAATCTCTATTCGGCGGAATGACAGGCTGAGCGCCGCCAAGTAACTATTATATTGCCAAATTGCTTTTAAACTTTTTTCACGTTCAAAGTCTTTTTCCCGCTTACATCGACTTGTTCGCCATCAATATTTATCTGCTAACAGAATTTGGACAGATTGAAGCCTCTGGCTATCCTGCCACAAACTGTTTTAGTTTAACTGGTATGGTAGCAATGTAGAGCATATTTCATGTTTTTGTTTAAGGACGGTACTTTTCCTCTTTTTATATTCAAGATAAGAAATGTTTTTAACGAGGTTTCCCCCAAGTTTATGAGGGATGTTTCCTACATACCTTCTTCCTATTCCCATTGCTAAATTCGTTGATGTATTATATACCGCCTAACTTAACTACAGATAAATTATTAATATTATTTTAATGGTAATGATAATGATATCATTGTAATATTAAATGAAATGAAATACAGCATTTTTAACCCGCTTACAATTATATCAACAATCAAAATTAGAATAAAGATTTTCAATGTCAAAGCGGCTGGCCTTACAATGTAATCCAAAAACTATATACTCAATTTATGATTATGATAGTAAAACATTTAAAAACCAAATTACTTTATTTGACATAAAAATTATTATTCTAATATTATTGTAATATTGTTGTAATATTATTGTTATACTATTCTAATATTATTTTAATATTATTTTAATATTATTTTAATATTATTGTAAAGTTATTGTAAAATTCTCCCAGAACAGCAGTGTCAATCACCTGAAGTGTGTAAAAACGGTGCGTCTTGCGGGGAGAATTATATGGGGGTTACCTGTTATTGCGCAAAAGGGTTTGCGGGGAGTAATTGTGAAGAGATTATAGACCCGTGAGTAGAAAATGATCTCACTCACTCACTCACTCACTAGACTCACTCACTCACTCACTCACTCACTCACTAGACTCACTCACTCACTCACTCACTCACTCACTCACTCACTCACTCACTCACTCACTCACTCACTCACTCACTCACTCACTCACTCACTCACTCACTCACTCACTCACTCACTCACTCACTCACTCACTCACTCACTCACTCACTCACTCACTCACTCACTCACTCACTCACTCACTCACTCACTCACTCACTCACTCACTCACTCACTCACTCACTCACTCACTCACTCACTCACTCACTCACTCACTCACTCACTCACTCACTCACTCACTCACTCACTCACTCACTCACTCACTCACTCACTCACTCACTCACTCACTCACTCACTCACTCACTCACTCACTCACTCACTCACTCACTCACTCACTCACTCACTCACTCACTCACTCACTCACTCACTCACTCACTCACTCACTCACTCACTCACTCACTCACTCACTCACTCACTCACTCACTCACTCACTCACTCACTCACTCACTCACTCACTCACTCACTCACTCACTCACTCACTCACTCACTCACTTTTGGAGTGTAATTTTGGAGTGAAATTTTGAGTAAGGCCAAATTCTGAAAAATGCCCGGCAATTTCTATTTCGATGGTTCTGAAGTGCTGAAGTTGTTAATTTTTCAGTTGTGATGATAACCCTTGCGAAAACGGAGGAAGGTGTACGACACTGGAGGACGGCATATCGTTCAAGTGTGATTGTACCGGTACCGTGGAACCGGGCTACCACGGAGATACGTGTCAAAGTTGGTTACTTTATATTTATTTTCAATATATTTATTTCATGCGTTCAATTTTATTAAATATTGTCTGGTGAGCTCGCCAGCTTTGGATCATTTTGTTGGTCTTGTTGGATTGAGAATGTGACAATTATATGAACAGGAGATAATTTTGATATGCTCTTGAACCTTTTTATATCAATATACAAACCAGAGAACTTTACTGAGATCCAGTGATTCCTTCATAGTATAGCTCGTCATTGACAGGGTGATCATTAAAAAGATCAGATGAGAGAAGGGCCCAACTATAATTGTAAACATCCAACAATTACAGCAACACTGAGTGGAGTAAACGGTATTCAGTGCGACACCTCACTAAATTTGGGCTTCTTCATTGTTCATAAACCAACTTGTGCCGAGTTGCACCCATGACCCAACTCAACATAATTAAACAAGTCCAATATAATTTTTTAAATTGTCACGTAACAATTGTAAGTGATGCGTCTAGCTAGTGTCTAAGCCACCGATATACATTATACACGATCAAATAATCAAACAATAAATATTTACCTCTTCCTATAGTTGAATTCGACCCTTGTGATGATACCCCTTGCGAAAACGGAGGAACGTGTACGAAACTGGAGGACGGCGTCTCGTCCAACTTACCCTTCAAGTGTGATTGTACCAATACCGTGGAACCGGGTTACCACGGAGATTATTGTCAAAGTTGGTTACTCTATATTTATTTTCAATATATTTTTTTCATGCGTTCAATTTCATTAAATATTGTTTGGTGAGCTCGCCAGCTTTGGATCATTTAGTTGGTCTTGCTGGATTGAGAATGTGACAATTATATGAACAGGAGATAATTTTGATATCCTCTTGAACCTTTTTATATCAATATACAAACCAGAGAACTTTAATGAGATCCAGTGATTCCTTCATAGTATAGCTCGTCATTGACAGGGTGATCATTAATAAGATCAGATGAGAGAAGGGCCCAACTATAATTGTAAACATCCAACAATTACAACAACACTGAGTGGTGTAAACAGTATTCAGTGCGACACCTCACTAAATTTGGGCTTCTTCATTGTTCATAAACCAACTTGTGCCAAGTTGCACCCATGACCCAACTCAACATAATTGAACAAGTCCAATATAATTTTCAAGATTGTCACGTAACGCATAAAGTGATGCGTCTAGCTAGGGTCTAAGCCACCGATATACATTATACACGATCAAATAATCAAACAATAAATATTTACCTCTTCCTATAGTTAAAAACGACCCTTGTGATGATAACCCTTGCGAAAACGGAGGAACGTGTACGACACTGGAGGACGGCATATCGTTCAAGTGTGATTGTTCCGGTACCGTGGAACCGGGCTACCACGGAGATAAGTGTCAAAGTTGGTTACTTTATATTTATTTTCAATATATTTTTTTCATGCGTTCAATTTTATTAAATATTGTCTGGTGAGCTCGCCAGCTTTGGATCATTTTGTTGGTCTTGTTGGATTGAGAATGTGACAATTATATGAACAGGAGATAATTTAGATCTGCTCTTGAACCTTTTTAAGTTTTTATATCAATATTGAATATACAAACCGGAAAACTTGATCATTAATAAGATCAGATGAGAGAAGGCACAACTATAATTGTAAACATCCAACAATTACAACAATACTGAATGCATAGTAAACAGTATTTGAGTATTCAGTGCGACACCTTACTCATACTGAATTTGATCAAATAATCAAACAATTAATGTTTAACTCTTCCTATAGCTGAAGACGCGAAATGTCCTGGTGATTCCGACTGTGGAAACGGGGGAAGCTGCGATATTAACCCAGACAATCCCGCCCAGACAATTTGCAAATGCCCCGAAGGAACTACTGGAATAAAGTGCCTGGAATTTATTTCGTACGTTTCGATTACTTAGCTTAACTTGTTAAAGAAAAAGCTTACTTTTGACCTACTTTTTGATTAGGTTACTAACAAGAAAACGAACAATGCGTGCCATTCCCACCACACTCCGTACGCATTCATTTCACTTTTGCTCCCTGGGGGCCTCAGGGCCTGGGAGCGGATGTATTTTAAATGAAAATCAACAAAACCACACAAAAATGGTAATTTCTTTTGATAAATACCTCTTTTCAAAAAGTTTTTGGTAAACTTTTGTGAAGGAACACTCTCCAATTAAGTGCATTATGCACTTCGGCAACGATCAATATAAGCAATAAGTTCTGATTACTGATAATGAAAATCGAAATTATGTGGCTAAAGATCAATTTTACATCTTTCTTAAAACGATCAACATTATTATAATCAATTTAAAGTTTGAATTCCTTAAAAAAACATTATGACGTCTAGGTCTGAATTTTGTTGAAAAATTCAATTCGATTTACACCCGAGCGTGCTAAATCACTCTACAGTCGATCTTCGAGATTGTTCTAAAAGGGCCCCCAACAGTTGAAACCAACTTCAATCGATGTATTTTCGGACGCTGATTCCGAATCACCCCCCATGACATAGGGTTAAAATGCTCCCGGCCCTGTACCCTGAGGAGATATTGGCGAAAACTGTCTCGATCACGTGATATGACCGTATAAGGAAGTTAGTCTAATTTCTCGTTAGGGTTGGGGTTTCAGCATATGCTTTTGTTAAGGATTGGGTTAGGGTTAGGGTTAGGGTTGGGATCAGATTAGAGGGTTAGGGACTAGGGTTTCGAATAGTCGTTCAGGACCAGCTAGTTGAAAAAGTCACGTGACAGTCGAGTGTAGAGTGATTAATCATCATCCATTTACACCAGTCTGAGTAAGTCTAATTAATAAAAAACATTTTCAGAGATCCTTGTTCAGCAAACCCCTGCCAAAACGAAGGAACATGTGCACGTGACGAAAATGATTTCACCAAACACAAGTGTACCTGCGTAGGTGACTCAAGTGGGGACAACTGCGAAGGTCAGTTTAAGATTTTATAATTATCCCAATTGGATTATCATATTAACAAATTAGCATGGAATAGTTTAAGGATTGTTGATTATACAAATATTAATATACTGCTTCAATTGAATTCCAGTTAGCCCTAACTCTAACTCTGCTACCGTCAAGATGTTCTCCCACCTCATAGTTGCTAACCTACTTTTAGTCCTGACTTTCTGCTGATTTGGTGGCTTTTTGACCGAACCTTAGTAATATGACATGGTGGGTTAACACTTTACTGTTAATTATTAAGAAAAGTGGTGAAACCCATCCTGTCAGTGTCGGTACCATCATCTCGGAAGCAACCAAGACAGAAAACTGTTTTAACGCTATCATAATGCTTGGAACTAATTATCATGTTCAGCTACTTTTAATTTAAAGTTAAAATTTTGTTTTATCAGTTATGCATATAACCTATTTATTTTCAGTGGCAGCCGAGAGTCACGAAGCAGAGTATAGCTCCGCTTCTGCCAAGACATTCCTCAACCTTATTGCTGCTCAAGTAATCCTGTGTTTGGCTTTTTGATGAGGCATTGCATTGTTTGCAGTCCTCTGGCCTCGCCAGCATAATTATGCTCAGAGACCTCATACAAGTTTAATTACTACTACTAGTACTAAATCATTATACGATCAAGCGATATTTCTGGAGTTAAGTTTTGTTATTTTAAGTTTTGTTATTATTTTGTGAGAATGGGGAGCCAAAGTCTTGAGCTCTGCAATTATGAATTAATATTATAACTGATTCGGTTGATGATTTTGACCAGCTTTATGCTGACTCGAAATGGAAATTTTTCAATCACCACATGATTTAGTGAGACAACAGCAGCTCAATCTTTCTTGAAGCTGAACCTTATTAAGTTTTAATGTTATTTTAGGTTTTAATTTTATTTTAAATACATACATAAATAAGGACTTTGTAATACCGTAGTAGTACGGCGAGAGTTATGAACTTTATAATTACTTAAATTTTGTTAGCTACATTATAAACACGTTCGTAGCATATATAGTTGTGGTATTTAAGTATTGAGCTGTTCTTGCAGATAATTTTATATTTTATATTTTATTATTATATTTTCAAGTGTTTAGTTATATAATATTTTATCATTACTTTTCATTTATCTGAGGTGTAGTATTATCACATCTCAGTTCCTTTTCTTTTACATACTTCTATATGTTACGGAATTTTGTGTTAACAGGAATCAATGTAACAGCGCCAATACATTTAATGTTGCCATGGTGATGGGGTGATGTTGCCATTGGGTGGCAAGTCCCTTAGTCCACATTCATTGCAGTCCGCTAGTTTTTTATTTATACTGCCTCTCAATAAATCATTCAAAATTATTCTTAAATCGAAATTGTTTTCAATTAGTTCTAACTTCTATCTTAACACACGGTAAATTAATTATAAACACACAGCTGAGTACATAGACACGAAACTAAAAGGAGACTAAACCGAGGGTAGGTACACAATAATTAACACACACCTTACAGACACATACACAGTACTAAAAGAGCATTTAAAGGAGTGTGACTAGTTAGTATTGAAGTTAAAGTTAAGGGCAAGTCTGGGTCGGCCCCGCAACCTTTCTCAGTTTCTTTGCTTCTTGGTCCCAGTTTGTTATTTTAATACTCACGTCGTTTCCCCAGCCATTAAAAACTCATTTCTAAATCCACTGATTCGGTGGTAATAGTTTGCGGTTTCTACAGTTAGTTCTTATTTCGTGCGAATTTCTTAAATCGTGAGAAGTATTTAATGTCTTTAAGGTCGCTCCTACTAAATCGCTCACCCAAATTTTAAGAAAATTCCTGAATTTGTGAATGTGGTAAGGGTTATGGTTAGCTTCGGGGTTATGGTAAGGGTTAGGGTTGGGATAAGGGTTTATGTAAAACCGTTTTGTACGGCTGCAAAACCATAAAAACCAAAGTCACGTGAAATTTTTGGGCGAGCGAATTAGTAAGAGCCCTTTAAGGTCAGACAACTTTTAAAATCTTAAACAATAATCTCAGTATGTGTGTGTGTTTTCTGTCTGTCTGTGTATGCGTGTGTAATTTCCGAGCTGCTTAATCAATAAAACGGTAAAAGTTACGGGGCTGGTTTTTTCGGTATAGTGCCGACAAAACTATGAGGAAGTCGAATGGTAAAGGGTTTTTAAATCGGTCGGTGGTAAGTGGTTTAATTGATGGTTTTGTACCACAAATGTTACATAAAATGGCTTGAGCAGCTTAATCAAGAAAACAGTAAGAGTTAGTGTTACGGCGGGGCCCGGGGCTCGCTCTCTCTCCCATTACAGCATTACTGCATAATATTATGTAGCGTTGGTACATATATCATAGACATAATTACACTGTCATGAATACTTTAAACTTATTATGGGAGGGAGTGCTCATAGCGGTCTGTTTGAACTGTAGAGAGAGTTCATACTTTCATACGACAATGTAATGCATTTTTTCAAATATGCGGGTGTGGTGCGGAGTTAATAAGGGTTAATTTCTATTGATTATTACGTGAGGGCACTCCGAATAGAATTGCTCACCTAATGCGGGTTTTGACTCAGTGGGTAAATAAAATACTCCCACCCTTTTTAACTGCGGCAGTGAAATCCCGGCCGAAGGCCGGGTTACACTAGTATTATCATAATGTTATAAATATAATCATAAAATTTAAGAATATTATGTAATAAATTATTATGTATTACCAAGTAACCGTTAACGGTTGCATCAGCATAAATATTACTTTATGATGGTAGCTGTGGTCGGAGACGGCTCCTGATATGCACATAATTCCAAACGAATTAAATAAGTTTTATTAATCGACGTAGCTTTGAGTTTAATAAATAATTCGACTGAACTCACACTTACTTTGTGACTAATTAATTAATATTACGCTGTAATTAAGTTAATAACCGTGTTCCCAACCCCGGGGAGGTTGCTGGACTGAATTCCTTATACTTGTCAGCTGTTATGTCCCTGATCTCTCGACTTGCAATTTTCATGCATTTTCCCCCAATTATTTCATGCCATTAAAGTCACCTGACTCTAAGCTGATACTACCAAATAGCTATTATTATATTATATTGAGTGTATATCGATTACTGGGCTCCGGTAAGTAGAATATTTAAGTTAACTAACTTCAAAAGCTGGCTGACCAGTCGATATAATCGATCATTTTAGCTCATAATCTACACCAGTCAATCGAAAATTTACCATTAACCTGTAAAGACCATCTTCATTGCACCTGTTAAATGACGTTGATATGTACTCATTACACATTATAGATGTAAAAATTTACGGTGATAATATTATTCATTCTACAAGCACAACAGTATATTGTGATCAGTATTGAAATTATTCATCGCCACATTAGCATCTAGCTTACCCGTACCGTTACGTTTCCTAATTGCCACCACCAATAATAATATCACCGTGGGATGACGCAGACGCCCAAGTCGTAAGCTGTTGTTGGGCTGCTGAATAAAACATGAATCTACCAATTTGGGCCATACCATCACTGAGGTTCCTTGTCAGACGTGATCTGTGATAGTCTGCAGAATCCGGCGTCTAATTGATTACCTTGATTGTGTTCAATGGACCCTTATTATCATTATCTCCTAGAGATCGCCCGACGTCTAGCCCAGCTCTGTAAGGTTTGTATTCGATAATAACATTCCTTGCATTGGCTATATTTTCCAGTTATTCACTACTGCTGGCACAATTTTTAATCAGTTGATATTTGAACCGGAGATTGTGGCAAACGAAGTAATGATTCGATTTAACATTTTCTCGTTGAGAAGAGTTTCTGTGCTTTGTTGTTTTTTAACCGGATACTGATGTTGGTAGAAGTGTAATAAGAATTCTCGTGTTTAGTATCAGTGCTTAGTTTTTCAAAATAGTTTTCACTTCTTCTGATGTGTGGCCTACAGCTGTACCAGATGGTGATTTTCATTTGATTTACAATTCACATATTGTGCAGATAATGTTTAATTTAATTTCCAGGTTACATTTCAACCTTTCGAAGCTGGTTTAATATGAATAGCCAAAATATCTAATTCTAAATACTAGCTGGGATATTGACACGTGAAGCACTTACACGTGACAGTGACACGTGCCTCTCACATGTTGGGTAGCTCGTGAGCTTGCATAGGTCACCCGATTAAATCTACTCTTCTATGATTTCTAACGAATACATTAAAGGAGTTCAAATCGGACACGTGATTATGCATTAACAGTACATATACCATAGACTACACCAAGCCTTATATACTCTTAGGTACGTACTAACTTACTGCAACTTCTATAAGCGAGTTTCCTAAAAGCCTGTAGACTTTGAAATTCTGAACTTTAAGCAAACTTGAAGGATTGTTTTAGCTGAACCAGGTACGAAGTACAGCTTTGTGCCTCGAGTTTCAGTACCGTAACTCGTAAATAGGCGTTTATCTAAAGAGCTAGAAGACTTTGTGCAAATATATGTCTTGTAATTGTATCTAACAGACACTAACATTATAGAGACTAGAAGATCGGAGATATAGCCCTCAATGGAGTGGTACACGGAAATGATCCTAATTGTAAAGACTGAAACTAGCCTCTCCAAATAATGGTCCTGGCAACAGACTACAATTAGTTCAGAGCTACACACGAACAATGAACATTAGGACCGATGTTGTGGCACTTAAACTTATAAATGTAACACTTTCTTCATAGCAGTGCGGTAGATTATACATGTTATTCTATAAGTTGCCGCCGCTTTGCACTGCGGCTGAAGTGGTGAAATTAGCCACTGTCGTGATCGAGTTCCGATGTGGTACTATTACTTACAGTTCAGCTCTTTTTTCTTTCGATAAAGCAGATACGCTTTTATTGGGATAAGGTTTTTATTTTCTTCGTCGATCAATATTTACTGTGATGAACGTTGAACAAAGATTCGCCCAATTTCACACGATATTGAGCCGATATTCAAACCTAAGCAACCGTTTTGCACTTTGCAGTATACATGTACATATGTATGTATCGTATTGTTCTCCAAGTCCAATGCTTATTTAAGTGATACTACCTGACACGGACAAAATAGCTTTTCTTTTCGACAAAAAAGCTTTTCCTTAAAGTAGATACAATTGTGTTATCTATCACCATTAGTTAATAGTTATCACTGTACCGACGGTTGAGATATTTGATAATAATAATACCAATAGAGGGCTTTACAATATTTCTATTCTATACGTTATGTCGTTATGAACTCTGATTCAGTGGCGTAACGAAGGGTCCCGCCGACCCCGCTGTGCGGGGGGGGGGGTGCCACCATAGGGGGGCGCCAAATCGTTGTTTGAATGTGGGACAATTTGGAAAAACTTAACTACGGTACTAGCAAAACTTCACGTTTTCATGCTCTAGAAACACACTTTTTTAGAGATTTTACTCATGGTGTATACTCTGAAATCAGCTAATTTGTTCAATTTTAGGGAGGGGCGCCAAAAGGGGAGGGGGCGCCAACAGGGGGGGGGGGGAGCCACCAGGAAATGTTACGCCACTGCTCTGATTGTACTTTTCTAAACGAACTTTTGACCGCAGAATCGATTAAAAGTGGTCCTTTGATAAATAATGATTGGATTGATTTTTTGTGTGTTTTTATTGGCTGACCGTCGCGTAATGAGAATTTCTTATACCGCCAATTCTAAATCGGTCCACTGTAAGTACTATCATGTCACGTGACACGTGTCTCCCGGTGCTCATATCATAGATTCATACCTTAACTTAACCATGGTCCTGTAATTCATAATCACACCTTGCAGCTGCCTTATCTTATCTTAATCACGCAGCTGCCTTATCTTATCTTGACACGTGCAGCTGCCTCATCTTATCTTAATTACACGTACAGCTGCCTTATCTCATTTTCAATTTAACGTACCAGT